TGTTGGGGCGATGGCAGACGGTCAAAGACCGTCTGAGCCGCTCTGACAGTGCACCCGCGCAACAACCTCGACGACCTTGGCACCTTCCAACTCTTTGGCATCGGCAGTCCGCTCGGCATCTACTACTACCTGGCAGCAGCAGCAGCAGCACCCTCCACCATCTATTCTCGGCGCGCTTGATCTTACTGTACTCTCTTGATCTCCTTCTTGCTATATCTGTATCGTCCACCACTACGCATACCATACTATACGGCGACTCATACTATACCCTCCTCTCTACTGTACACTTACTATACGGCGTGGCAGCCATCATCGTTCGGGATCGGATTCGGCAATACTGTAGCCTGCAATGTCATTGTTTGTTCGCATCTAATTCTTCGCGTGAAAGTGTTTCAAGTTCGCAAAGCAATTAGTGTAAGTCGTGATCATGAGCAAAATAGAAACTTTGATTCATGGGTGATGCGTAGCGCTAATAGTACAAGAGATGCGCATCCATCCCCCTCGCCCAATCCTCGATCAAGCCAACGGCCCACCGAGATACGTCTTTCCAGTTCTTCCGAGAGAGCGTCCGAACCCTGCAGATCTCCAAACGGTGACCGGCCCACTGACCGCCGCTTTGATAACATGGCCAGGCGGTCAGGATGATAGCAACGGTCCCAAGATCTACGACTTTCCTTTTGCCTCTGATGAAAGGCCCATCGGCAACGCTACCAACTTGCAGCATACGACCCTCTGAACCAGGTATCTTCATATTGGCGATGGCACCCGCGCGTATGTATTCCCTGGTGTCGAAGTTACACAGAGCCCAAGTACTCTGAGGCGCGTATGTTGGAGATGTGTCTTGAATGAGGAGACGTATGCGTAGTTCGTCACTACGAAGGTGCGATATGCGGGCCAGGGCAGGCTTCAATTGCCAATCCCGATAGTGCCATGCCATGTCGAACGGCGCGGCCCATCTCGATCGTTTGTCCATGTCGTAGAAAAGACCGTATGAGCTAGCATCCCTTTTCATCTCTTCTTGTTCGGTTTCGTCTAACAGCCCCTTCGGTAAGGTCTTGACTCCGGAGCCAAGGGTGATGATGCGAGCGTATCTCCAGCGACCCAGGTAATACCACTCCCATCGGCGCAGTTCGACGGCCCTTCGAAAGCCCTCGTAGCCAAGTAGACGATGAGTGACCGCAAGACATGCGGCATCGTCCATATACTCGACATGCGAGAAGATGATGGCGATGAGCTCGGGAAGCAATACCGAGAGAGCGCCAAGTTCATGCCACTTGTCGTTGAGAGCCTCAGTACTGCACAAACAGTCAGCACTGTCACTGTCGCTCACGGCGGTATAACGCACTAGTACTTGGGTACAGCCTCGGGAGAGTCTGCGCTTGGCAGTTTAGGTTGGGCGAGAAGCTTGACTATCCAGTCATGTCCATCGAAGATGAACTCCGGGAATTTGCCCCGAACGCCATCTGCCTTTTCTCGGTCGTCAATGTTGAGCCTATAGAGGACTATCAGTGCGGGTTGTAAGTGAGACAGAGGGGCCACGCACATGTGCCAGCTTGGCATCCTTCAACTGTCGATCGAGAGTCGTGGTAGATTGGAGCGGGTAGCAATGCGCCACTACTTATGATCCTCCGCAAGTGGACGTGGTGGGGTGGGCAAAGATACGCGCGAGAGGGGCATGGAGTTACAAGCACTCAGATACGTCCCATGTGTTATTACGGCCCATGGTCTTGTCGTTGGTTGTGGTAAGCGGCAAAGATGCTGACTCGCACGGGATGCGCGGCGCCCGCCGCGCCGCACGTCAACCCTAACCCTAATGAGGCTCTCACAGAGCGTCGTTTAGCAAGAACAGGCCGCACGCTCCTTGATTGACCTTGAAGGAGTGTTTAATATACCAGCTCATCCCTCAAGGTATCATGGCGCTCTCTCATTGACCGTCACACAATGCTTAACCACTCCAGTCTCCCAACCCAACTTGACTAATTGGCATGCACGAAAGCAATTGGAAGCACAGGGGTGGTCCCTAGATAGGGATTCATATCATAAGCCAAAGTTCTGCTTAAGGTATACTTGATGATGCGTCAGCCATTGCCGCACTCGCTCGTGCATCTTCTCTGAAACGTCCACCCATCCTTTCTTCCCACCCTCTCCCTCGATATCTTCGACGCGTAGTATAGCCAACTGATCGCCTGCCCATGGACCCGGTTCACCAAGAGACTCCATGTCCGTTGACCAAGCTGTCAAGAGTAATGCGAGAGCGCCTATATCGAAGATCAAGTCACCGTCCCTTCCCTGCACGATGAACGGGCCACGCGCTTCACAACCGCTCTGCCAAGGCGGGATACTGGCGATCGTACTGGCTAGAACATACTCTTTCTTCGTCGAGTTACACAGGGCCCATTCGGAAGCCGCAGGGTAGTAAGGCGCGGTGGACTCGTAGAACATGTTCGCGCGTTGATTGTCCAGCTCTGAGCGTGCCGACTTGCCCCGATAGAGTTTCCAATCACGTTCCTCTGCACGGTATCCGAATATCTGTGGGTAACGTCCGTCGGTGTACCAGAAGAAGCTGCGCTCGCCCGAGTCTTCAAACTCAACGCAGTCTCCAACTTCTGACTCGTAATCGCTGTCGTCCGATTCGTTTAACGTCGGACTTTGCGAGTTCGGCTTGGAGCCGGCGGGATGGCCTTCGGCGCGCAACGCGCCAAAGAAGTTATGTTCAGGATCCCAAACAACCTCTTTCACCTTCTTGAGAGCCATTCCCTCGGGGAGCGACTCGGATAGTTCTCCAACCATGATGATGTGGTCGCCAGCCCAATTTCGGAGTGTGAATCGTGCACGTCGTATCCGCACTAGACGATGCCAGCCTGTCACGGATAGCAAGCGATGCGTGACAGCGAGTGCGACCACGTCTCCGTGCGCGTCTATATGGTCGAAGATGGTATAGATGATCTCCGGCGGAAGGTCCAAACGCCCGAGTTCGCTCCTAGAAGCATCTAGCGGAGGTAAACTTATCGAGTGTCAGGGAGACCATCGCCCTATATAGTGTCAAGGATTCCATGGACGTGCCACTCACCACACTCTCGGTGCTTCAGGACGGAAGGCGGGTCGTGCTAGAAGTAGCACAAGCCAATCATGGTCCCGGAAGATGACTTCGAGAAAGGTTTTGGTACCACCAACTCTGAGCTCTGAGCAACAACGATCTAGGTTCACTCTGGAAGGCAGTGAGGACTGTCAGTACGATTCTTGCATTGAGAAGATGGAGACGAACATTCTCCATTTCTGGTACTCGGGGTCGACCATGGCTCTCGGTACGGATATTATGAGGGGCCAAGCAGTCCAAGAATGAAGGGCAAGCTGGCAGAAGCCTGCGTCCACCTTTGGCGCTCGTGAAGGTAAGAGACAACGTCCACTCTCGCGCTTCGAAGCGCATGGATGGCTGGCCCAAGCGAACCGTGACCACCTCCGCGCAGTCAACTGCACGATCTGGTCCTCCCTAAGGGAAATGCACTGAACAAATACGGACAGTTCACACGTGTAGAGTACCGGCAGACTGAGAGACGCCGGCATCACTTCTCCGCGGGTGCGGGCGCTTCGACGAGCCCGCGGCCCTGCTGCAGCCGGCGGATGTCGCCACAGCGCACTTACAGCGTGTTTTTCAGGTGTCACTCTCGTTAGGCGCCGGAGGCCGCGATACGATAATACATGAAGTCATCTCGAGAAAACCCAAGAGTCTGGTGGTGGACTGGGTCCGGTACGAAGCGAGCTAAGCGTAAAAGATGCAGATAATCAGGCTCCAGGCCCCAGCTGTGGCTCCAGCGCAGCGTGATGAGAAGGCCAGACACTCATCCTAACACCGAGGCTTCTCAGCAGCTTAGAGTTCGGGAGGCGCGCATGGGCATGGCCGAGCCGCGTCGATCTCCGGGCGTGGCCATTCTGTCAAATCCGTCGACTCAGCAGCTTTCTGTGTAAACGAAAGTATATTGGACAGCTCAGATAAACGACTACGAAGTGTTGTTTTGATGATTCGGGGCGTCGGGGCCTGTATATGATGCGCGCGCAAGGTCATGGAGTTCTGGAGATGGGTGTTGCGAAGAAGAAAGGCTCGGGCGCGGCAGGGCGGCTGGAGTGCGACTGCGAGCAGCAGAGCCAGGGATGACGTACATGCGGTGACTTTACCACTCCTCTCGCGCTCGCCCGGCCAGGAGTACTTGTGTTGCTTCGCGCGCCTCTCCTTACCACCTTAACCCTTACCGCCATGAACCCCTCTCCCGAGCCTCCAGACGCAGAGTCCTCTCGTTTCTCCAGCACATCTACCACTGTGGAGCCCACTACTGCCACCGCCAATGGCACTACCCCGTCCGCCGCGCCGAGGCATGCTACTGTCCTGGAAAAGGCTACGGAGACCCATGTATTGAGCGGGCCAGAAGACAACTATAACTTCTACGCCAATGCACCACCGCCACTCAACTACTCTATACGCGGGAACCACTCGCGAGAACGAGCAATAGCCATCTGGTTCGGGCTATGGTTCACCGAAGCCGGGATCCTGCCTCTCGTCCTATTCTACGGCATCCGATGGGGCACACATCTCAGCATAACCATTAACTTGGCTATCATCACTTCTCTCATCGGCGCCGTTTCCGGCTACAAGATGTCGCAGCGGACATATTTCCTATGGATAAAGAAGGGGCACGAGCATCGGAGACCTATCGGTGCGGGGAGATGGGGAGTGGACTGTTGCTCGTGAGTGTATTTTCTTGCTCATCGGCGGATGTTGCGGCGCGCGTGTGTTACGCGCGTACAAAGACTAGCGCCGTCGGCGAACGGGCTGGTCATGGAGCGCCGAGAAGGAGCGCGGGCACAGCGTCTTACGCGCCAAGGCTCGCGTGAGCGGAGCGCTTATCCTCTCACGCGCCCACACGCCGCCACACCTCGTAATCCAGAACGTATGCTGAATTAAATATTTGCAGAGTACTCTTCGGTATCGCCGCGACCGCGTTCTTCGTACCCCTCATCATCGGGTCTTCGTTGAGTCCGGCAGAGCCTCGCGTCGTCGCAATGGCGCTCCCCTGTATAATGATATCCATGGGCATTCCATTGCTCGTCACCGGACTCTTCCCGCACAAACTCTCCATCCCTTTCCGCTGCTCGTCCCTACCAGCTGGACGACCTTTACCGCCCATCGCCTACATGTTCGTTGAAGACATCGTGGCAGTTGACGGAGGAGGCGGACAGGCGTTTCGCCAAGCCTGGCGTACGCGCTACGAAGAATCCCGCATCATGCGCAAGATCATACGCGACGCCAGTATCGGATGGGGCTTGAGCGGCGTATTGATAGGTGGCGCTCTCATCGCGATAGGATGGACGGTCGACCAGGATACGGGGTACGGCCTTGGCTACGGTATACCTTGGTTGTGGGGTATCTGCGGGGCCCTCGGTACGAGCATCGTCGTGCACTACGCGCTGAAGAAGGAGAGCGATGAGTGGGTTGCTCCAAAGGTGCACAAGGAGCGTATCTTGCCGATTGAGGAGGGTCAGTATGATCGTCCAAGTCTGGATGAGTTCAGGAGGCGCAGTAGCCAACGCGATCGTGCGCGTCCGGGACCGGGTTTGCCCCCACTCGTTGAAGGGGAGCCGCTGGGGCCCAACAGCCCGCCGGGCGGTATCAACTCAGTCCAACGAAAAGCGAGCGTACCCACACCGGCAAGCCAGGAGAAGGGGGAGAAACCGTCGCGGCTAAAGACACCTGCGCCGGCACACATGCCCAGCCTTCGTTCTGCACCCGGTTAAATTTCGTATCTGTCACCCTCGCCTGTGTATTCCTCTGGATGTACCCTGTCACATACCATACCTCCTTACTACCACCTTGCTTTCGCTCACGCTCGTCCTCTCCATCTCACGACTACAACGACCTTTTAGTTACTGTATGTGTATAATGTAGCTCACCTCTATAGGCTTCACTTGTTTAGTAGAGATGTTATGAACATTCGATGAAAACGAGAGGTTGCTACCCATGCTACAAGATGGGATATGCATTGGCAAGCATCTGTACATGATGATGATTGAACGAACTTTCAGATAATTACGCGAGCAATTTTACGAGGCGATCCGCCCGACACCCCGACAGACGCGCAGACCCTCAGGCATCCATAGGCAGTACGACAGTATTGACCGCCAACAAACTTCGCATCCTAGGGTGAACGGTCCAGTCCACCTCGACACGCGGGGCATTGATAGAGTGACTAGCAGACGTCTCAGCTCGCGTGTAAGTCAAGAAGCAAAGAGCTCTACTTACTCGACGAGCAAGTGCTCATGTATCTGGGGCCAAGTCATCCACATCTCCTTCCCAACATGCGCATTACAGTGCTTGCACCCATACGCATGATATTCCACGCGCCCATTCGCAACACTTTCGTGCTGAGTGATATACGCGCGTTCGTCTACGTCCACCAAGCGCATGTGGGGTGTTTTCTCGGAGTGAGTGGTGTGCAGGAGGTGCTCAACCTGTGGATACGGTATGATCAACCTCCACCCTGGAGTGGATTGGAAAGTGGGGACACGCACCGCAAATCGCCAACTCAAGGCAAACCGGCCTTGTACATCGTGTCCCGTTCCCGCATCCAACCTTCGATCCGCTCTACACCGCATACACACGAATCGAAGGTCGAGCCTATCCATCTCCATCCGTGTCGTGCACTCCTCAAGGCAAGCAGTCTTCAAGAGATACAGCACCATCTCGCGCGCCGACACGTTGAACTCCACTCGAGGCATTGCGCGATATTTGCTAGTGCTATAGACGGCGGCGAGTACTTCCGGGCCGAAGTACGACTGGCTGAACGCAGATGAAGTCGAGAACGCCGTCGACGCCCTCTCTAGAGCGTCTTCTGTTGTGCCCTTAGGAAGCAACGAACTCAAATATGCCTTCTTCTCCGCGATCGTAGCGTATATCTCTGGCACAGCCTTTCGAACGACTTCGTCGAGATCGGCATCCCGTTCGTCCAGTGCGTCCGCGACGGTCTCAAACTCTGCCGCATGCCTATGAGATGGCATATAGGGTACGTCCGGAGGTGGCAGCAGTTTCCATTGTCGGATGCACGCGTCCTCGAGATGGTGCAGACGCTCGTCGCGCCGTCTGCGTGCTTCAGATTCAAGTCTTGCTGCTTTACGTGACGCGAGCAGTGGCTCGTGTTTCGCACGCATGATGGTCCATGCTATGCATACGATGTCAGGATAAGCTGTTGTGCGCAAGGTACAGATAACGTACCTTCTTCCGTCAATGGTCGTGTGCTGGCTCGGAAATCTGGATGACAGGTGAAATAGCCCAGTTCGATCTCCTTCTCACAACCCAGCGCAGTGAAGCGGGATACAATACTAGGGACATGTGAGAAGAAGCTTACATCAGGATGTCCTTCGAAAACTCACGCGTTGCGACGGGTTTCTTGAAGTTCGCGCTGTCGATCTTCGTACTGGCGTTGTCTTCTGAGATCCCATTGTTGACATAAGCTATCAAACTGCCCGTTGCGGTCAGCATAGGTAAGTGTGTTCTGCGCGGGCTGAAGTGACCGACCTCTTCGCTGTTTGTACAAGCGGCTTTGCGGCGTCGCAGAAGTTCATGCTGTGCCTCCGCGCAGGGGCCAATCAGATGATCATCCGAGTCGTACTCGTCCTCGGAGAAACGGTACTGTTCGATGATGCGTTGTTGATCCTTGACGAAGGCAGAAAACTGGTTCTTGTCACAGAGGGGAACTGACGCCAGACCTGATGTCCGATCTTAGCCAAGCAAACAATAGTTGATGAATCAGTTCAACGCACCGTATACATGGGGGAGCGCATCGATAATTTCCAAAGCCGTCAGGCTAGACCTCGCGGGAAGCGCTGCTTTCATATCAGCACCGACCAGTCTAACAATGTCTCAGTGTTTTGAGTCGCTTTAATGTGTACACAAACTTACTGTTGTCCGGCACAGCTACGACAAAGCCTCCGTCTCATAGACCAAAGTGTAATAGGTAAGGCCCTACTACCACAACACTGCAAGAAGGTATCAGCATTATGCCACTGGAGGGCGCTTTGATGCGCATAAATCCCGCCACTCACGTAGCATATAGGATCCCCGAAGAGCAGATTTGCCCAGACAGGTTCGGAGACATCTTTAGGCAGGGGCGGGGCAGCTGTGACACACTTCAAAGACATACTCCAAAGGCTTTGTGCCAGATCTTTGGTAAGCAAGAGACCTCTGAAGCGCTTGCAAACGCGTGTGCACGCCAGCAGGTCCTCCGGAGCAAGGTATGCGAAGATCTTACACGCGCAAGCGTGAGCGCGCGCGATCTAAGTCTGTAACAGTCGGAGAGCACACCTCAAGGAGACAGACATCCGGTACATAGGGCAACAATCTGAAGTGGCGAGGCCGTTGATACATCGGCGTTGATGGGGTCCATTTCCTACGAGCGCGTTTCTGTGGCGGCTCGATGAACTCGGTTTGCGTATGCGTGCATCGCTTGCGTTTCATTCCAGTGAGAGCCACAAATGCACCCTCAGAGAGTGCAGGCCCTTCATCGTCGCCGAGGTAGAGATCATGGTCGTTGATGTACAGCCGTCGTGGACGTCGAGGTAAAGGCGCGTTCGGCCGCGACGCGTCCAAACGCGTCTTCGGCCGCTGCCGATCCGGTCTAGATCTACCCACGACATCGCCGTCGAGCCTCGGGCGCTTGGATTCGCACTGCGCCTCGACGGTCATCCTCGTTCGTGACATTGTGAAGAGAACGGAGAAGTGTGGGGGTCGTTAGACAAGGGATCGTGGTGGTACGGGAGCAAAACCGTTAATGAAGTTTCATTCCGCACGTCCTTCTGCATCAGCCTTCCAAGGCCGACGACCCCCCCACACGGCCGCCACGCACAGAATCTATACGGTAGATGGAGTACTGCATTTCATCTCCGAACCTTACGGGAGATCACTCAAATGTCAGTAGACCTCTGTATCGAAGACGAGGCGGTGCATTTCAAGCGCCGCCTGCGACTCCGCCTCTCGAATGTCGCCACTCGTTCCTGCCTGCCCACGGCATCTTAGAGATGATGTCAGAAGCTTTGCAAGGTATCAATAGTTACAATCTGCAAAGGCAAGGCATAATCTATAGTACAATCGAGAGCAGATACGATGCAAGTCGGAGAAACGATGCTTTGTTACAGTTCATTTGCTCAATCCAGGCGCGCCGATAGACTCGTCCCAGTCTCCACTAGACTTCCGACGGTTTATCCGGACCCTCCTTATCCTTCGGCTCTCGTATGTTCTCGCCCGCCTTCTCGCCGCCTTGTATCCTCTCAGCGGCAGAGTCTCCTCGCGAAGGCTTCGGAACCGTTCCGCTAGCGCTGGTCATGCGAAGTTGCTCAGCGACGACGACGCCGAGCGGTCCACTCTTGAAGCGGGCGCCACGACTGGGAGTGGCGGAGCGTGGCGTGACGTTTCCAGCGAGCGCATTTGCGGGACGGCGGGAGCGCGAGCGATCGAGAAGGATGGCCTCGATAGGCGCAGGGGATCCTGCACGCGAGTTGGCGGCACTATGCGACTGCACTGCGGCAACACGCGGCACCGGTGCAATAGGCGCTGCAGGCGCCGTGTCTTCAGTAGGAGGAAGGTTGATCACTACTTCAGGTGTGGGACCACGGACAGGCGACTGTACGTCCTCTTTGTCCTCATCCGAAGCGAAGTCGCGCTTCGACATCGGGGCAGCGCACTCGGAAGGCTTCTCGTTCACTTCTTCATCCTCTTTCACGTCGCCAACGACAGGCACGGCTGAAGGAGGACCATCACGCGGAACGGGAGGAGCCGAGCGCGAGCGACTTGTCAAGAAGGTGAGGTTCTTGAGAGGACGCAGAAGGGGCGTCATACTACCACTAGCGCGCGAGGATGATACAGCGACTACAGGTGCAGGTACAGTGATCTTGAGCGGTACGACATCGTCTGCGGCCGCACTCTTCAGATCCGGAGCAGATGCACGCTGAGTCAAGGAGTGTACAGGCGACTTCGGCGGGATATAGCTCGACGGCGCGCCATGTCCAGCGCCTTCCGGGTCAAATTCGTCATAGATTTCTTCACCGATAAGCTCTGGAGCTGGAATGAGCGGAAGACAGTGATAGGGGTGTGCACTCTGCATACCTTCAAGAACGTCTTCGAGCGTGATGATACCCAGAGGTGCGACAGACTGGTCGAAGCCTTGCAAGAAGTCCTTCGCAGCGTCTGCGCTCAAGACGGCGTCGGCTGGCATACTCTGCTCTTTGCCCAACGCAAAGACGGACTGAGCAAGGCTGGGTTTCTTCGCTTTGCTTGCCATATCATCCATCGGAACGGGATCACCTTCGGCCTTGCCACTAGAGCTGACCCTGGGGTCGCCCATCTCGGGATCAGCGATGCGCGCTCGCTTCTTGTCCTTGCGACGCTTACGGCCGAAGATGCTCTTTCGTCCTGTACCCTTTGCATCACCAGAGGCATTACTGGAGCCCGTGTCCTCACGCGTGAATTCTGTGCCGATGGCGGTCGTGGATGTGCCGCTTCCGCTGGATGCCATGCTAGCTTTGCGAGCCGTCACTCGAGTATCGGTGTGTTCCGCTTCTTCTACATCGCTGTCGGTGTCCTCGTCGCTGGAATCGGATATACCGACGCTACTCTTGATACGTTGTGTGAGGCCACGCTTCACGACTTTCTTGACGCTTGCGGCTTTCTCGATGGAAAGACGTGAAACGATTGCCATGTGCGAGCGACCTTCCTGGAAGCGATCGAGGATACCGAGGAGCGGCTCGTTCTGGGCAACTGTGACGACCTTGTTGAGCGGGATCTTGCGCACGGGTATGGCATCTGATCGGAACGTGAGCCGCGTCCTAGACAGGAAACAGCAGTCCAAGTACCTTCTGGGTCTAGAAGAACGCACTGCTTGACGAGCAGAATGCCGATGATCTTCTTCGTCTTCGCAGGCTGTCCGTCCATACCGGTTAGTTCGATCTCCTCGTAGACGGGGATGCGGCTGTGTCCGGTTAGGCAGATGTGGCGTAGAGTGGCGTAATCAAGCTTCGCGTTGACAGACAGCATGAACACCTTATCTATGGGCGTCATAGCCTGAAAGCAATGTCACCGTCAGAAACGGGCCAGCATGAGCAGAGTCGATGAAGGCTCACCTGCCTAGCGGTTTTCTCCTGCAAGTCGAGAGTGGCGCCGATGATATTGACCGTGTCCGTGCGAAGATCTCCTCCTAGTTGCCCAACATTTGCGTGCAGGGCAATGAGCTCCTTGAGCTCTGTGAGGGAGTCAGTCTCGTTCTCGTATGAACCATTGATGACCTTACCTGCGCGACGATACATGATGCCGTGGTGTGGACCTGTTCATGGCAGATCAGCCTCTCGAAATCAGACAATGCCAGAGATCTTCACCTAGGATATACTCCAGGAGTTTCGCGACAGGCCATGCGACCAACCCCTTGACGGACATAAGCACTGAAGCCACCGTGAACAAGGAATTTCTCTCACAAAGGTACAGAGAAGAATGCGCATGAAGGGCGCCATCTTGGCGCCTATGTAGAGACCATGTCGTGTACAGACGCTCTGAGGGATGATTTCCGCGAAGCTAGAAATGAATGGTGTCAGTGAATGTACGCGTGCTGCCAAGACAAGCACGACAGTTGGTCACAACGCCGTCTCGGTTTGGTCTCGGTACCGAGATGAGAGCACGTGGGAGTCGCGGGTGAGGTCGGCGCGCCTACCACATTCTGGTTCCCGAGGACCATCGTATCTGGATCGTGAAGGGAAAACACTGACATTACGATGAGCACGGTGCTGACGACCACGCTCTGCGCACCACCGCCCAGAACGGGATCTGCGATGATGGGCAAAGTCTCGTTGGATACCTGCTCACTGTGAGTTTGCGTCGATGCCACTTGATGATTTACGATCCGCACCATGTTGGCTAGTAGTAATGTGACGAGTAGTAGATGCCCGTTCTGGGCAAACAAGTTGTCAGCGACGCGTGGCTCGTCGGAAATGCCGAGTGGCGCGCACCTTGCGAATCGGCTCAATCTGTTCGGCGTACTTGCGCTGCTCACTGTATTGCCATTTAGCATGAGCAAACTCATGCGCTCATGAAGTATTGCTTACGGCGTCCCGCTGATACGTAGAACATGCAACTGTGTCTCGTCCAGACTCATGTACCTTCGGAGCGTCAGTAGAGCTCTACGCGGCATGCACAACTAGTGCCACGCACCCTAGGGTTAGACCGGCAAAAAGACCAGACAACAAGACAAGGACGGGTATGAGAATGCCTCCTGCGATAATTTGGCCAGGGCTGGGGTGCTCGGACGCGCGTCTCGCGAGAAAGTGCGAGGTGTGGTTAGCGCCAGAGCGTACGGCATGAGAGAGGTCTGGAACATGGTGGCTAAGAGAGGCTGCGAGAGAGACGAGCGACGGGAACGAGGGAGAGAGGGCGGAGAGCGTTGGCATAGATCGTGGACGTTCCTGCTGGCGCGCAGGGCAAGGTGGATGGGTATATGTATATGAACGCCGACGGAGTGGCACGCGTGACTACCCCTATCTCGCGACTTCGCCGTGTCAGAGCTATATAGGTTTTGAGTTGTGGTTCACGCCCCGTTCTCGAGGCGTCGAGAACGGCACAAGGAGCACCGCCTCTGTCCATGCAGACAAGAACGGGGTCGTCATCTCAACGTCTGTCATTCTCTGGCAGGACAACAGCGCGAGAGTTGGGCGTCCGTTTGAACGAGTTGATGACGCCGCGCGTTTTGCCGCGCGTCTGCCGAACACGAGGCTACTTATCACACAGGAACCCTCCGTCGGCTTTCATCGTACGACGAACCTGAGCCTTCGCGATAAGCCGCGGTGCCAGGGACAGGGTTGTACACTGGGTTTGGGCTGTGGATGAGGAGGGAGTTCATTGGGTATATATGGTCATCAATATTTAGGATGGCGTAGGTGTGGCACAGGTACGTAATTTACAGATGCGAACATTCCTTGATGATACACGCCGTTTTCGCAAAGCGCAGGCCATCACACGCATTACCTATGTCTACGTGTAGGGGGGAGAGAGAAAGACTTCTAGCCTTCGGTAAGAATGCGATTGAGAAGCTCAAAGTCGGCCGAAGTCAGCCTCGCCATGGCCTCCTTCCACTGTGGCTTGAGCTCGGCGGTGGCCACTAGCCGATCGCGAGTGGCCTGCGCTAGTTCGCCTTTGGTGGCAGCAAGAAGAAGTGCCAATGAAACGATGCTACCCTCGTACGCGGTTTCGCCGACGATGAGCACAGGTGCGGCAGATTCACCCGCGCCACTCTGAGCGCCGTCCCATCTCGGCGCTTCGCATACCCATTCCCGCATGACCAATAGCTGCGAATGGTCCACTTGACATGTCCTACCCGAAGCGCGCCGTTCGCCGTCATAGTATGGCACGATACGGAGGAAGAGTCCCTCTTGCGCGTCGCTGATAAACTTCTTGGGTACCAACATGTCCTCCTTCGTCCTGTCCTTGTAGATCTTGATCGCGTCCGAGGTATGCACGATATGCACGACGCAGTGGAACTCCTCGGCCTCCCAGCACTGCCCGAAGCCCTCGACATGCGGCCACATCACCGTCGCAGGGCGATTTCCACGCTCGGAGTGTGCGATCCAGACCGTATCCGATATCTTCTGCCCGGCCTGGAGATTATGAATGTCGTGTTGTCCCGGTGTACAGGGAAAGGGTGTGGGGTTGAGGCGGTCTCGAGGACCGGGAAAAAGATTGCGCAATGCTGTGCTTTTGAGGCCCTTCAGGAATGCGGCTACGCTCTTCTCGGTGTTTGGCGTGGGGGTCGACGTGAGAGGGGTGTGGGGCGTTTTCGTGTGACGGTCGTTCTGTTTCATGATGTCTGCGGTGTATAGGCGCGTGCTATCGAGGTCGCTCCAAGAAGAAAAAGAGGGCAATGAAGTGAGTGTGAGTGAGGCTAGAGTGACCTCAGCCACGATCGTTATATGGTAGGACGGCTGTGGTCGCCCTAAACGTGGTTGTGAGGTCGGACAATGTACATGGACCTGGCTCGGCAACCACAATCAGTATTGTTCGTGATGATGAACCACACCAGAACAAATGGCATATGCTCTCCATATCCTAGATACCTGTGTTAGTGGTCTGAGAGCATAGACCCTCTCCCCCTCATAAATCTCGTGCAGTATTGTACCGGTGGCATGAACTCGTCCTTTCTATACGGAGAAAGCTAGACTGATTGAGTCACGGCTAGAAGCGAGAGTGTACGGGCAGAAGTTTGAAAAGGACAGTGATTGTCTGACATGCAAGAGGTAGGATTCTGCGTGGTAGCCAAACGGTATGCAGATGACGGTGGAAAGCAACAGAAGCTGGCGCGCCAACCGAGCTGCCGCGCATAAAACGCGCCCACGTGAGTTTACGTCGGTACGCGTCTGGGCTCCAACCCCAGGCCGCCTATCCGTTGGCGGGCTGACAGACAAGAAAATTGCTGCACTTATAGAAGCAGGTACTTATGGTATCATCAGCAGTCTCATTTCAAATGGTGATCCAACGATCGGTCGCCAGATGACACGATGCTGGCAGCTGCATGCAAATGAGTAGATCAACTTCTCTCTGCTCCCAAGTACAGTATACACCTCCAGATACACAAGTAGTCAATACATTGAAAATTTTGGATACATATCACGATGCTCTACCACATACTCCCGTCCCCAGATGACCCCCCAGTCCGACATATCTTCCCACTTTTGACTTTTCAGTGTGTCAACATCACATATAACAAGGCGATTGCCAGCCCATGGACCCCTAATACCACCCCTCTTTGACCAAGTCGTCAATATAAGGGCAAGAGAGCCGAGATATAGAACTGTCTCCGGGCCCGATACGAAGGGTCCGTTGACAGAACTGCCTCGTTGGTAGTCTGCATGATACAGAAAGCGTGCTTTGGCGATGGCCTTCGCGCGAGCATACTCCTTGGTATCTAGATTGCATAGCGCCCAGTTGCCGCGCATGTCGTATTGTGGGGTCGTGTCGCTGAGAAGTAGGCGTACGCGCAGGTGATCGCCCGTGCCCAGTAACACGCGCGCTAAAGCCGGATTCTCGACGCACGCGATACAGGTGCATTCTCGCTGGGCATTGGCCCATCCGTAGTGTTTGCCGACATAGTGATACAGCCCACGTCTGCCCTTGCTCACCTTCCTCACTTCCTTCAATTCTTCCACCGTGAGTATGTTGTTCGGTACATCACTCGCGCCGTCTTCGATGGTGATGATACGATCACCAGCCCAACTACCAAGATGAGAGAAGCCTCGACGGCGCAATCTCCAGACGCGACGAAAGCCATCGTGGCCTAAGAGACGATGGGTGACGGCGAGGCAGATTGCGTCGTCGGCGGACTTTAGATGAGAGAATATGTGCGCGATGATCTCGGGTGGGAGTACCGAGAGGGCGCCCAATTCGTGTTTACGTTCGATTGTCGGAGTGAGGCTGCAGAGCATCAGTTCTAGTGGAAGAGAGGGGAGCAATGATGCAACGTACTAGTATGCGGGTACAGACCTGGAGCTTGGGAAGATGGGAGGAGCAAGGAGTTTGACAATCCAATCGCGATCGTTCCCAGCGGACATGAGCTCAGGGAGTCGGCCGTTGACGCCCGTCGCCTTCCGGCGCTGGTCAATGTTGGCCCTGTAGTCAGCCGTGTCAATAAAGATATCACGTCGAGCAGTTTAGGAAGAAGCGCGCACAAATGCCAGTTCCGCTCCATAGTGATGGGAAGGTTAAGATGGATGAGGGCGGGAGGACAAGTTGCCTTACCGCTCTGATATACCAAATGATGGTGGTTAGATGGATGACTAATCTGCGCGCGCCTGTGGTTGAGATGTTCGGACGGATCGTACGCGGATCAAATCGTTCTAAGGTGCTAGGAGTCAAGTACGGAAGACAGGCAACAGCTGGCAACATATGTAGACAACCCATCGATAGCGTGCAATACAAGCAACATACAATCCAGTCCAAACCACGATCCAGAGTCCATGACGATCCACATAGAAGTACCTCTCTTCCTCGCCCTCTAGCTCTGATTACACCAGACATTACCCCAAACATCCTGTGCAACACCCGGATTGCCCGCCCCAGGCTCATAGCTCCCATGCCCATCTCTATACCCATCCACATATCCGATCCCATAACTCTCGTTCGCATTGAATTGTATCACGGGACACTTGAACCCGATGAAGTACGGGCAGCTCCTGTCCGCTTCCGCGCATGTTTCCAGACATGGTAGGAGGGAGTAGTAAGATTGGTTGAAGACGGGGAGGTTGGCGTTGCGCGGGGTTGTACCGGATGGGACGGCGCTGAGCGCAGCGGTGGGGATTGAAGCGCGGAAGGTTTGTTGAGCAGCGGTATCTTGAGGCGCGACGGTCGTAGGCAGTGCAAAGCCCGTCGTGTTGATACTCGGGTACTCTCCACACCTTGGGAAGGACACGCTGCACAGCCACTTCTGATATGCGCGTCGACAATCCGCACAACTCTTGAGCGGGGAATAATAGTCGCGGCCACAGGCGAAGGATGTGAGGGAGGTCGTGAAGTTTGAGAGGTAGCTCATGAGCGGGTCGGTTATTGACGAGGGGAGGGTTGTGGAGGTGTAGACGCCTCCTGCGGCGCGTGCTGGGAAAGCTAGGGGAACGGCGTAGGAGACGGAGGGGCAGTAGGGTAGGGAGTGTACGAGTGGACATGAGAATGTGCCTGGGTTGAGTTCATCAGCAACGAGGCGCTTAGCTGTGGCGCATTGAAAGGACATACCGGACTTTGTCACGAAATACTGAGGTCCAGCAACTTTCGCGCCGTTCAACACGGTATACATCGTGTAGTTCGTACTCGGCGTGAGACCGTTTATCAGCCATTCAGTACGGTAACCGTCAGATCCGTCGCGTAACCATAGCTGTTGGCTCGCAAGGGTCCCATTCGTCCGTGGATTGACGGCTCGGGTGAGAGCACATGCTGTTTGCGGTCGCGAGGGCAAACCGGCGGTTGTGGGGGAGAGCAGGAGGGTGTAGCTGAAGTTCCTGGGTGGAGGCGATGCATTTGAGAAGGGGGTCTCGGGCGAGGGAAGGGTGTAGTTGGGGTATGTCGGATCGTTGAATATTACGCCATCTCCCATGGGAGGAGAATATAGCAATGCTTGATTCGATGTCGAGTCGCCGAATAGTGGGAATACATCTGGATCGCTCCCGTTGAAGTGCTCAAACAGTGGTCCTGTTTACTGGTTAGCCTGCTGTCAATTGATCACCCGCCGCGTACATACCATTCTCTGTTGCGGCAACCTGCATGGTGTCCGTCGTTGCCACATTATACACCGCTAACTTCCCCGCCTCGGTCATCACTCCCGTCCAATTCCCCACTCCGTCGTCCCCCAGATCCAACTGAAATACGTTCGTCCCTCCATCCGGCCCAGGCGTGCCGACACTACTACTATTCGTGACAAAGAAGCTTAGACTTGAGCTGCTTGCAGATGCACATAACGCGATAGAAACAGAAAGCAACGAGGAAGAGGTTGGTAACGAAAGCAAAAGCGGTGAAGATGTGCTGGTGGATCCATTGAGTGATAGTACATTATTCAATGTCAGAGATGACTGGGCCGAGACTGGTGGTGATAAGGCCAGGGATACGATTAGCGCCCAAAGAGAAGGCGGGAGTCGGTGAGCGCCGAGCATGATGGCGGTCGTTGGGCAAGATGAACGTAATTTCTGCTTCCGCAGCGACGAAGAGCTGTGGCCCCGCGAGCGACGACGGGCGCTCTTCTTCCGCATCCACCATGTTCGATCACACAAATAGAGAGCTATTTTGCTTTGCGCATACAATAATCTACAGGGACTTCCGCGTTACGGCTACACATATTGATACAGTCCTCCTCAATGATTCCATTCAACCATCGATACCCGAATCGCTCAGAGAAGAGTCAAAACATGGTCAGCAGCCGTCGTCGTAACTTTCGAGGTATCGTCCTCCACGATAACGGTCTCGACGGTATCACCATTGGCGATAATCACGAAGCGCTACAACAGCAAACCCAATCAGCAAGTCCATTCCAATTCAAGAAACTGAGCAACGCATAGCGAACCTTGGAGCGCGGGCCGCCGACGAGATCCTGCGAATCCTGAATCAAACCCAGACCAGCGACGAATGCGCCAGAATCGTCTGCGATGAACTTCACGGGCGAGTCTGTCGGTGCGAGAGTCTTGGCCCATGCGCTGTGGAGGAATTAGACTTTGTGGAGATCTTGGGGCGGGGAAGTGGCCTTACCCGACGACGAACGCGTCGTTGACGGTGACGATGTAGATGTCGGATACGCCTCTCGCCTTGAACTCCTCGTACTTCTCGATGTACCCAGGAGCCTGGCCAGAGCAGGGCGGGGTGAATGCTCCGAACACGCCAACCTATATACGCCAAATCCCAATCAGCTTCCGAATACCACCTTACACGTCTAAGACAAACGCGACGCACAATGATGGTCTTGCCCGTCGCGTTGAGCGTAATCGCGTCGCGGGGTGCACCAGCCGCCTTGACGGTAGTGGTCAGAGGGAGCTTGTCGCCGGGTTTGATGGGTGCGCGGCTGAGCAGGCTTGCAGCTGTCGAGTGAGCAGCCTTGGCAGCGGTAGAGACAAGAGAGGCCATAGTGTTTTGGTTGGTTGCGGTGGTGGTAGAGGCTTGAAGAAGGGAATGTACTGGTAGTGGCGCAAAGAACCCCGGCTTCTTATACCAAGTCCTGACGTCAACCTCATCCCTCGGCGCACGCCGACGCGCAAGAGCTCGCGATCCGCCAATCCCTCTTGCTCTCTTTCCAGTATCTCCACCCTCCACGCCACCCGCGCGAGAGCTCACCACCAAATGTCAAATCCGCTACGGAGTTCATCAGGGTATCTGTGGCGAGACGCGCGTGCTTGCTGATGTGGAATGGCGCGAGCGTGTTCTTTGAACTTCCTATCTCGTTTCTGGAGCTCACTCCTCGTGGTTCCTGCTCTCGCACACGCATGCGCTTCTCTGGGCGCATACCTTTGTACCGGCCGTAGACGCTTCTCAGTCACTCAGCTTTCCCACCATAGCTCTATCTTTGCCTCGGTCTACCCTCGGACTGCGCATACACCTGAATAAGCGTTGTAAACATACGATTGGGATACGGCTTGCGGTTGGTTGTGTCGCCATGCTATCTCGCGGGATGGGCTTGACCGTGTCGATGTTTGTGCGACCTCCATCGTAAGTATCGGCACGGCTTTGGGTCATCTATGCGCCGTTCTGTCAGTGGATCCCCCGATGTGAAGTCCGTACTTGACTTCTCCCACCCGCACAGAAGGATCGACCGCATCCGCTCGACCCTCATCAACCGTCGAACTTTGCGGTTTGGCTTTACTATTACCTTCACGCGCCAACCATCCTCGCTATGCGCTTCAAGCGCTCAGAGCTCTTCCGCCCTTAGCATGCTACGTTGAACACGATTAGCGCGCACGACTACTTCTCACATACCCAAAGGAGTTTCACAACCCGTGACGCCCGCCTGACACACTTCTCTCAACAACTCGACCATGATCGGTGCACTGATGCTCGACCTTGATACCCAGATCGAGCGTCTGTAGACCTTCCAACGAGTCTTCTTCGCGACGAGCGTGGTGGCGTCGCGGTGTATGCTCGACATGTCGCTGTTTTCTTCACTCCGACCAATGAGCAGATGACGCGCAGCGCACCGTCGTCGCTTCTTTACGCGCGCTTAACGTCCGTCGCTATAAGACGTTCGGGCTTTTGGACTCCACATCACCTCTTCTGCTCTGCAACATCCTGATTGTACGATGGGGCAATACTGGAACCTGTGCGTAGCGAAAGCTCATGTACGGAGTGATTGAGACTTACTTGATTGATCTCCTTAGGTTCAACGTTGACAAGCGTCAAAAGGGGAAGAAAGTGCGGGGAAAGTTCGACGACTTCATCTTCAGCGGCCACGACTGGCTCGTCAAGCTCCTCGCACGTCCGGAGTACTCCGACGCCGTTCCAACTCTCTAGTACGCCTTGCGACTCTCGCTGAAACTGGACATGAACTGAGAGTTACGTAGCTCTTTGATCCAAACTTCCAACGACAGGGATCAACAAGGACCCCTCCTAAACCTCCCACCCGAGCTCCACGCAGTCATCTTCGCACACCTCTCCTCTCTCGACGACGCCGCCTGTCTCACAGTCGCGCACCGTCTCCTCGCGCCCGAAGGATACCGCCGCGTCGCACAACTTCGACGCGAGGAGTGCACACACTGGGGAAGCTGGGCAGGCGATCGTATCATCACAGCTGGAGACTACATTGACGAGTTACCCGAGAATCTATTGACGCCTGATGAAGAAGCCGAGATGGTGATCGAGGGAGCGAGGTTCTATAACTTTGCGTATCATCATTATGAGGGTCATGCGCCCCTTGCGTTCAAGCCGTTCCTTGTGAGTTCAAGCTTCAGCTTAGGATGTCGATTCAGAACTGGTGCTCAGACAACTTTACAGCGTATACCACCGGATGCAGTTGGTGATCATCTACGCGCACGACTCCTTCTCGACTCCACTTCTCCGCGATACCCGTTGCACGGAACATGGGTCCTATGCAACATCTCCCGCAAAGCATACATCCGCGCGGACGCCCTTACCACCCTAGACTGGCAGATCAACTGTCAAATCGACGGTCCGTTCATCCGGGGGACGAACGCTGCCGTGGACCTCGGCACATTGGTCATCATGATGACATCTTGCTCTGACGATCTGGGAGACGTAGGGACGGCTGGACCGTGGGCAGGAGATCGGTTGGCTGTTATTGGTGTTGAGGAGCTTGAAGGGGAAGGTTGGGAGGATGTATCGGTGATGGGTTTGGGTGTGGTGAGGGACTGTATTGTTGCCAATGAGAGAGTGATGTAGTGTTCTGAAGTAATGATACATGCCTGCGCGTATAGCAGGGAATATATCAAGTCGACGATGTTGGTCTCTTGCTAGGGTTAGGGTTGGAGTGTGCCGGCGCCCGACGCCCGACGCCGATTCCGCGCGAGTCAGGTTTGCCGCTTGCCACGACCAGCGACCAGACCCCAGGACGTAATACTACACGAGATCTTTCTTTCTAAGTACTTATAGTTAAATGCATGCTCTCCGGTTCTCCTCCCCAACCTACACCACGTTCACCTGTGGGGATAGTTGTCGTGACGCTACCAGTTCCCATCTGCAGTAACTCTTGACTGGCTGGACGATGCCGAGCTGGTTCATGTGCGTGATGTCCCTATCAATGCACATTTTGCCCTTATACTTCGTTACAGGTTTAATATTGATGACCGAGAGAAGGCACACGGTGTTCAGTGGAAATTGCCGGAGTTCATCTTTAGCGGCCATGAATGGATAGTCAAACTTCTTGCCCGTGTTGCGCTCCCAAGCGCAGACTCTCCTGAGGATATACCCAGCTACTAGTGCGTTACTGTGGTACACGTCTCAGTCACAATACTGACTGTATATGCAGCTCTACGGTCTCGAAGGACAAGTGGCATGAACTTGGCGCACTTTCCGTCCTCCCTCCTGAAATCATCGCCATCATCTTCTTGCACATCGACTTCACGGATGACGCCGTATGTTTTGCGGTCGCTCATCGCCTGCTCGGCTACGAGGGATATCGGGCAGTCGTAGAGCTACGTCAATGGGAGTGGGACCACCTTGGCAGCTGGAGAGGCGCTCGCATCATCACCGTTAGCTCCGAGATCGTAAATCTGCCGAAGGGGATGCTCAATGACGCCGAGAAGGACGAGTTCGAGAAACTGAAGAGTGAGCATGGCCTCTTCTGGGGTATGGACAAGCGATCGAAATGGGCCGCGCCGGACGACATGGCCGAGTTCTATGAGTTCTGGGGTTTAAAGCCTGCGCAGGACCGTGTATCGCAACACCGCGGTGACGAGTTGCGCGTGCGACTTCTCTTCAAGGACACGGACCCGTACTACGCGCCTCAGGAAACATGGGCTCTCTGCAACCTGGACACGATGGAGTACATATGTGCGAAGGCTATAGCTGACATAAGAGTACGCTGTGCGAAGTGGTTTCAAGCCGATAGTGTTGTCGACGGGCCGTTTATCAGGGGAAAATCTGGGGGAAGCATCGTGGACCTTGGAACGGTTGCCATCATCTTGACGTCTCGGCCTTGTTGGCAAGAGGGTGGTCAATGGGCAGGCCATCGTCTCGTGATCTGTCGCGTTCAGACGCTCGAAGAGGAGGAATGGGAAGATGTTTCCGAGTGGGCCGCGGATTTCATTAGCTCCTGGGTGTCATTGAACGATTCATTCATCTACTAGAGCTTTGTTTCACGCATGTAAACACCGTCGCCGTTCGTTACGCATGTAAGCAACGCAATCGCACAGGAATCTATGTTACCAGGACCATCCTAACAATGTCTGCTCCGCGGCCACAAGATCACACGAAAGAACGAATGCAAACAAACGATGATATTGCAGAGTACAGTAATACCGAATTCGATCCCGAGTGATAATGGCTGCCACGCCGTATAGTAAGTGTACAGTAAAGAGGAGGGTATAGTATGAGACGCCGTTTAGTATGGTATGCGTAGTGGTGGACGATATAGATATAGCAAGTCGATCAAGAGAGTACAGTAAGATCAAGCGCGCCGAGAATAGATGGTGGATGGTGCTGCTGCTGCTGCCAGGTAGTAGTAGATGCCGAGCGGACTGCCGATGCCAAAGAGTTGGAAGGTGCCAAAGTCGTCGAGGTTGTTGCGCGGGTGCACTGTCAGAGCGGCTCAGACGGTCTTTGACCGTCTGCCATCGCCCCAACACTGTGGATAAAGAGCGCCCCGTCCTACGTCCCACCGAGCCGACTAAGCGGTCTCGAGTGGCGAGCGGGGTGGATGTTAAGCGGCGCGTAACCTGGAGGACTTGAAGTGGCGAGCGGTCACGATGTGTGAGCGCGTTGATGTTGGCGTTGTGGCGGCGGTCCGGTGTCGGGCGAGATGAAGCAGAAGGTGGCAGGCAGAGCAAGCGGAGTAGCAGAGCGAGAGAGGCGGCCAGAGTAGACGAAGCAAGAAGACGAGTCGAATGTGAGAATAGCGTTGCGGCGACAAGAGCGATGTGCATAGCGTGTGACGAAGCGATATAGCGAGGCGTGAACGTTGAGCGGGCGTGGCAAGCTTGAGCGGGATGGGTGATGTGGGGGCCAACTAGGTGACGAGGCGGATCTTCTTGGGGATGTCTATCATGGTCCCCGAGCCGAAGGTGTCGTCCAAGAAGGTGTCCCACTCCTGCAAAGGCGTGAAGAGCGGCTCGAAGCCGTCAATGGACGTCGAAGAGACGTCCGCGGGAAGCTGGACCCCGAGCAGGTTGTCGGAAGACGGAGCCGGAGAAGCCATGAACAAGGACGCCGTTGAAGCCGACTCTGGGAAGATGGCGGGAATTTCGATGTGAGGCTGTGCGGCCTGTACTAGGCGCTGGATCTCCGCGTCCCTCGCCTCGACCGTGCCCTCGAGAACACCCATGTCGACGCGCATCCCCGCAATCGCCGCCCAGGCTTCCATGTCGTTCCTCTTGAGGACGACGGCATCCTTCTTGAGCGCAGCGCACTCGGTCTTGAGCGCATCGCACTCGGTCTTGAGCGTGTTGACCTCGGCGGTGTGTGTGACCTCCACGGCTGCGGCTGCGGCGTTGTAGTCGGCGCTGATCTGATCAATGCAATGAAGCGCCGAGTTCGTTCCCTCCTTGACGTCGATCTTGAGAGTGCAAACCGCCTCCTCGACCTCGATGAGTACATTGCCGACGACCTTCAAGAGTTCCGCGTTCTTCGCTGTCCGC